CCCCAAAACCCCAAAACCCCAAAACCCCAAAACCCCAAAACCCCAAAACCCCGTGTTAGAATTTTACAGCTGAAATTAGTATGATTGGAAAAAATATGGAGCAAGTGATGGGGTTAAGAGGCTGAGAAAAGTAGACGATTCAGAATTATTTATCCTAAAACTTGTTATTTAATAAGATACTTAAAATAATTCTCTTAATATCTTCTTTTTCTGCTTAATAGTCTCTTTAACAAAATTAAAAAAGCTACAGTTTTGATAATAGCAATCTTAAATATAAGAGAAGAAGCATTAAAGAGAGATCTGATTTGGCAAAATGCAATTTGGTTAAATATTCATTCATTTTCTTAATAACCCATCGCTGTTATAGCTTAATAGTCTTTAAAAAACAAGTAAAAGGAGTTGTGCTGATAGAGGTTTCTTCATAACTTTCTGAGTCACTAAAAGTCTTTTAGGAAATTTAGCTGGGTCTATACTCATCTAACGCACGCTGTAATAGGCTATTTCTTTATTTCATTTCTAACCTTGATTCTATTTGCTGGGCCCTTAAAATTATGAATACCATAGAATTTTGAGCTAATGTGTTGAATAAACATTCTTCACCAAGACTTTTAATGCTGTCTCCAAAACATATTCATATCTCGGTTGGAGAGTTTTTGAAACTTTATTTTAAAGCTATAGCGGTCTTAAACTGTTTGTCTATTGACAATAAACGCAAAGAGGCATCCAGTCACCTCTGATTAAGCTGAGACAATATTTTAAGGATAAGTCCATCTGAAATTTATTTTTACTCTCAATATTCGAAGGTATTTCAAACATCTCAGAGGAAAACTGCAAATTACGGTATAAATAATTGGAGAGACATGTGAATAGACTAGTGGCCATTGAGCCAAATAAGTTTATTAGTGCTTAGGCATTAGAACGCTATATTTCAAGAATGGATTCGTGAAATTCAGATTCCTCCCTCATAATCCCTGGACTAGACTGAGAGGCTTAAATTTGATAGTTTTGTTAATAGGTATTTGTAAGATTTCAGTGGTCTTGGAATATCGAAGGTATAGAAGAGATCTCTATAGGATCTATCAATAATTTAGCGAACCTGTATTGTAAATATTAGAGTTTTAAGCATGTTTCTGGTAATATAATGTTATTATACTTGGCATTTTTCAATAATTACGTGCAAATAACTAGGAGACGAAGAGTGTAAATACAAATTTTAGATCCTCTTTATTTCTTCAGACTTTTTCATTTTTTTCAAAAACTTTAGAAATGCTGTAATATTGTTCCTATCCCTTCAGTTGTAGCATTATCTGAACTAATTAACAATTGCTGAATAATTTTAGAACAACAGGCTTAATATTAGGAATGTGTTGCTAGATCATACTGAAAGTTTTTGAAGTTCAAAAATATCAGCACCTAAATCAATTATGCCATGGCTCTAACTAGACAAAATTTAAAATCAATAGTTTTCCATTTCTATTGGTTTAGGTATCCGGCTCCTTTTCATGAAATATCAATCACAAGGCTATTTTTAATCTTTTATCGCTTCTTTTGCTTAAAAAGAGCTTAAATATTGTGATAATAATTTTAAGATTCTTGCTGTTTAAAAATTTCTTGTTTTTCAGAACCAAAATAAAAGGTAAAAAACACAAAATTGTTATACCTAATTTGAAACTGTAAAAATCGGGTATATTGGAGGTTTGGAATTTGAGTATCCATTTCACTCTATTAACTTAATAAAGAAATGAAGGATTTGGCTTCATAGTCTTCATTCACACACAACAATAGCATCTCTTGATTTCCATTTGAAATTTTCGAAACTTTGATAACGGCAAATATTTTACCCACTTTAAGTGATTTCACCAACAATAGCTCTCCAAAATCGCTCTTGAAAGTTATGCTTAATGCTTAATCACATTTTTATTAGTAAAAATTAGAAGAATTACCGTTTCCAATTTCAATATTTCTATTTCACTCATCTTCTCACCAAAATGTAAACCGCTATTTGTTCACTTATCCAAAAGTTTCAACTTCATGGCCACAATATTATATACACTCTTAAAGGAGTGAATTACTTCAGAGGATGTCATAATACCTTACTGTTCTAGTTTGTACGCCTCTCAGTCGACTTATTTTATACTTTGATAAAGGGAGATGAACAGAAGAGTCTCTATTAACATCTCCTGAGTTCATTTTGGCTTCTATTTTGGTTCTTCTGAGCATTTTATTCCTTGGGAAGTAGTACCTTAATATCTCTAAACAGATACTCTTTATTATCAGGCAACAAGAGCTTGGTGTTCATTGCGAAAGAGATATGTAGAAGACGAGTCTAATATTTCAGATGCAATTATCTCCTATTTTTACGGAAATTTCACCGAAGTGTTCATATAGGAAAATCTTAATAAAAAGTGCAGTAAATTTGATAATGAGCACGCTTTTTATGACTAAGAATTCATGGTAATTATATTTTGGCAAATATCTGCAAACTTAATAAGCTCCTAGTAAGAAAATGATAGCTGCATCTGTTTATTATTTCCTTATGATGGGCTCTATTGAACCTATTTTGTTTCTTTTAGTGATCTCTTCTTATATAACATCTTCTATAGTTGGGAGACTACTTTAAAGGACTCATGTTTGCTATTGCTTTTAATAAAGTGGAAGTATTTCTAATAGAATATTATGGCTAATTTGGAGAAAAATTGATCAATAACTTATTCTTTTTTTTGAGTTTTCATAGGTATTTTAATAAAAACTCTATAGAGGAATTTAGAGAGAAGGAGTCAAAAGAGATCACTTGGAAGGCTAATCGAATAATGATCATCTCTATTTCTCATTGACACTCTCTGAGTATTTATTAGAAATTTTTGGAGTTATCGATCAGCAAGGGTTCACTTCGTTCAGAATTAATCGATACACTATTTAACGTAAATAAAAATTTAGAGTAAGATATTATTAGGTTTTAGGAAATTTAAGGTAATAAAAAGTATAATACTTGCCAAAAATTTTTACGAAATTTTATGAGATATAAATTTCTTCACAAATGAATAAACAAATCGTCATCAAGAATGCATGTACACTCTTATTCAAGTTTATCGATTAATAACATTGACTAAAACATCTGGAAAATAATGAACTTGTGATGGCAAAGAGAAATTTATCATATTTAAAACTTTAGCATTCCCAATAAACCGTAAAAAAAGAACTAGGTGAATTATCAAAAGTTGATTATTAAGAAATATTATTAAATTCTAAGCACACTCCATGCTTTAGAACTTCTTTGGCTTTTAAGAACACTCCATTTATAGTGATGAATTCATTGCTCTGACTTTAGCTAGCTTCTGGAGAAGAACACTAATTTCCTTCTGTGTTGCAGATACAAATCTTTGACTCTTCTTCTTAACATTACAGGTTTCATCGATTTCCTCTGACCAGAGTCTTCCAATAGTTTTCTTTCCTTTCATAAAAGGGGAACTATTTTTGGATACTCCTCTATTTAGTTTTGCAAAAGGAGAGCTGCCCATTGATCTAGCTCCTACAGTTTCTCTACCTTGAGAAGGAGCACTGACTCCTTCAGAAGAGATTTCATCTGAGATATTAGTCTCGTCAAAATCTCCAAAAGTAAAAACAGTGTCTAAACGGTTGACTGGTGAATTCATTATTAATTATTATAAGTTCGTTTCGTCAACTTTTAAATAGCTTCGGGGTTTTGGGGTTTTGGGGTTTTGGGGTTTTGGGGTTTTGGGG